TTCAAGAAAGGTTCAAAGGAAGCTATCCAAGTTGTCAAATCACAAATGTTAATGAACAAGACGTGCTTAACTTCATAAGTGTTTAATCAAACAAGCCTAAACACTTAAGCCTACCATTGGCCAAGCCATTCTTATAAAAACCATTTTTCAAAAATAAATAATCTGCTCTAAAACACAAACTTTCGAAAAAAATATCCTTTCCTTCTTTTCTCTCTTGTCCCAAACGATTTTTGAATAATCTAGTGGAAACATGGAGATATAGTGGTCAATAGGAGGGTTGACATATCTTTTAAAGGAAGGGAAGAATCACTTGGTTGATAACACCAAATCTCAATATAACACGCATCATTCCTCGGCTACAGAAATCGGCAGCGCACAGCCCGTCTAGAGGAAAAAACGCATCGGTTAATTCTTTTGAAAAATGAATCAAATAGAATTAGGTGCATCATACTGCATACATGCATACAGATGATAGGTGTACTGGAAGATCACTTATTCTCTGTTTATTGAAAAAACAAAAAATATAAAAAATATAAATTTCAGAAAAAACAATGCGCCCGTACCATGTTCAGTACACCCGTACTAAAATCAGGGTTATGAACAAAATTTCAACTCAATACGGGCATACTGAAATGGATGCGGCTGTATTGGCCATAAAGAAATTTTCAAAGACCTCGTCATGAGGCAACTACATAAATTAGAAAAAAAAAAGGAAAAATTGCTTGTGTATGACAGTAGCCAACAAAAAGGCAAAAATACAGAAAAAGCCAAAATCAACAAAAAATACAGAAAAAGCCAAAACCAACAAAAAGGCAAAAACACGGAAAAAGCCAAAATCAAAAGGCAAAAACATAGAAAAAGCCGAAAAACGACAAAAAAGGCAAAAGATTTAGAAAATCAATCGCCTCGTACAGAATAACTGAGCCTGGAGAGGCTTGCCGAAATAATACTCTCTCAGAATAATTGAGCCTGGAGAGGCTCGCCGAAATAATACTCTCTCAGAATAACTGAGCCTGGAGAGGCTCGCAGAAATAATACTCCCCAGAGAAACCTCAGCTTAAGCTCATGGAACAAATCCCCAGCGAGAGCTATCAAAGCAAGATCGTCAAAATCCCCAATGGAAGCGCGATCATCCAAGCAAAATATTCAGTCAAAGGACTTGAAACTTCCTCAGTGGAAGATAGCTCTCTGACTCAAGCGCTGAGTGAGGCTAAGCCTGCAGAGGCTTCCTAAATAATACTCTGGGATACATAAGATCCCCAAATCCCCAGTCGCCTACTCAAGAGGCACCCCTACAAAAGGAGAAAAATAAAAAATATCAATAAATATTCCCCAGGAGGAATTCGGCATCCAGCCAAACACCGAACATCAAGATAATTCGCCTACTCAGAGGCACCCCTTCAAAAAGAGAAAATCCAAAAAAGATCAAATAATCATTCCCTAAGCGGAATTCGGCACTCAGCCGATCATTGAACGTCAAGATGATCTGCCTAACAG